GGGGTGTGCAGGGGGGTGCGTGGAGGTGGGTGCAGCTGCAGGTATGGCAGTTTTGGGGAGGGGGTGCCGCTGTGGGACCCCATTGGGGGTCTCAGCACACATCCTGGGCGTCTTGCAGGGACTCAGCAGCACGCAGCCAAGGAGTCAGGCAGCATCTCCATCCAGTGTCGCTACAGCATCGCAGACTACAGGGCTGTCAGCAAAGCCTGGTGCAAAACGAAGCAGGGCGAGGTGTGCGACGTGCTGGCCAGCACCAGGCCGGCGTCCCCAGCAGGGACCAGCACGGCTCGGGGAGGTGTCAGGATCCGGGATGACACCCAGCAGGGCGTTGTCACCGTCACCATGGAGCAGCTGCAGGTGCAGGACTCGGGCGTGTACTGGTGCGCGCTCCAGGACGGCTCCGGGCTGCTCCGCATGGAGGAGGTCACGCTCAGCGTTGCCAAGGGTGGGTGTGGAGCTGGCAGGACACATCTGCAGATTCCAGACTCCCTGCCCTGCTCTCTCCTGTGCTGCCCAGCCTGCCCCACTCCCCACCTTGCCTGTGTTTGCCTGCCCAAACCCTGCAGCTTTGGATCTCCTCGTGGCCTCCACCCTGTGGAGCAGCAGACAGAGTTGGGAGCTGATCCACATCGGTGCTGTGCTGCTCCTCCTTAGCCTGGGAGCAGCTTCAGCTGTCCTGAGTGGGGTTTCTGTCACTCAGTGTTTGATATCAGCTCTTCAGAGTGACTTTTGAGCCCCTTTAGAGCATTCATCCTTTGGCTTTCAAACACCTTCCATTGGGTTGTCAAGGGAACAGCTTTAGACTGGGATTTTACAGTTCTGTCACTTGTGGGTTCTGTTTCAGACGATGTTTGAATGGAAAGGGAAGGCACTGAGGTGGTGGTGATGGCAGAGCAGCACCAGGCTGCAGCCTGGCTCTGGCAGCACTGAGAACAAGCAGTGCAGACGCTGAGAGGGGACGTTGGGATGCTCTGGACAAACTCACGGGATCAGAGCCCTGGGAAGAGCAGGGGCAGAGGTGTCACTGCTGAACGCAGAGCAGCCCCACAGTGACCGTTCCTCTCCTCGTGTCTGTGCTTGCAGCGTTGCCTCCAGGAGGTTTTCCAGACTCTGAAAGCCAAAGTGAAGAAATTCTGTTGGGTGACAGGTAAGGGCTGAGAATCTCCGAGCACACACCAGTTACTCCTGTCGTACACCTGGGGCAGGCAGGCTCTGGGCACTCTGGCTCCTGCCTGGAGGAATTGGATGTGACAGGATCCTCACCAAAGGTGGCCTCTCCTCCTCCAGCTCCTGCCCTAACCCGAATTCCAAAGGAAGAAGCAGATTGGTAAAATCCTGTCACAGCCTTCTGCAGGAGCCTCTCTGCTTCTTTATCCTTCTCTCTTTGGGCTCTGCACTTCACTTGAACCCCCAGATTCTGATCCTCAGCCTCGACTTTGCACCCTCCTGTCTGAGTATTTAACAGTGGGACAGTCCTTGGCTGCTGTTATTCCATTTACCAGTTAGATGTAAAGGATTTTCCTCCCTTTGTACATCTGCTGCCATCAGTGCCTCAGCAGCACCTAAGAGCAGAATCATCCCTGCTCCAGAGAGCCTGGAATTGTGCTTGGAGCTTTGAACAGTGGCTCATTTCTAAAGCCTGGAGAATGGTTTAGGAAAAGCTCAGAAGATATAGTCAAGTAGAAAAATCAAGAATCAGGAGCCAGGGAAGGTCTCCAGGGCCTTTTACTCCCTTCTGGATCAGCAGGGACTCATAGACAGAGGATCCTGCAGGATCTGCTGGAGATCTTGCAGGAGAGCCAGACCCTCCTTCCAGGTGCTTGAACTGAGCACATAAAACCCGTCCCTGTGCCTCTTTTGGTCCCTGTTGGACCATCCCACCCTGGTGACTGCCTTCCTCTGCTCCAGCTGCAGTGGGAACACCTTCCTCATCCTGTCCGTGGTGCTGCTCCTGCTGCTCCTGCTGGCGCTCCTCACCTCCGTAGCCCTGGGTGTCAGGTACTCCAGGCTCCTGCTGGCAACAGGTACGTGGGGCTGGCACTGGCCAGGCAGGGCCCAGGTCAGCCTGGGAGGCCTCAAGGCAGGCTCACCCCTGCCTGCCCTCAGAATAATTCGAACCCAGGTTCCTCCAGAGCCTGCAAACACCTCCGAGGAGGAGTAAAGGGAGCAAAGTGGTCCCCAGCCCCAGGGCAGAGGCACATCCCAGCACTGGGCAATCCCCCAGCCCTCCCAGACCTCCTCAGCAGAGCTTCCCGTGGATTTCTCCACATCTAAACCCTCTGATTTTGCCTCATTCCAAAGGTAACAGAGAAGCAGAGGACACCAGTGACAGACCAGAGGGCACAGCACAGGTAAGGAAAATGAAACATTTCCCACAGGGTGCAAAACCCCTGGCCGACAGTTCTGGGAGGAGCTGTCAGACCCACCTGGTGGGGAGCTTGGAGCTCAGTTTGGTTATAAACAGGAGGGAAATGGAATTTAATGGCAGCAGAGAGAGGAATATCCCTAGCTGGAGAGAGAGGGGGGTAATTAATGCAAGGAAATTCCAGTAGGAACAAACCCAGTGGAGCAAATTCTAGTAACCCCTGAGAGGGGACTCAAGGAATAACAAGCAGGGTCAGAGCATGAGGCTCCAGCTGTATCCAGGAGAGGTGGTGAAGAAAAGAGTTCTCTGTCCCTTCACCTCTGTCACAACCAGAGGTAAAATCTGACACAACTTCTCCTTTCCTTGTCGGAAAATCTCCTTCTCCTGGCAGCGGTGTGGCCTGGCACTGAGAACTCGTGTGCTTTCCCTTCCTTTTCCCAGCCTGGCAGCACCGGGAGGAGGGAACGTTCTCGGGATGACAGCCGAGGGCCAGCACACATCAACGTGGAGGGGCAATCCCACTCCAGCCTCGAGGAGCCTCTTTACTGCAACGTGAAAGCGAGCCAGGCTCCCGGGAGCTGCCAGCACCTGGAATACGCCGTCATCGCCTTCAGCCAGCCCCCACGGACCAGCAGGGAGTGAGGCACAGAACCCCCAGCAGGGCAGAAATGGGGGGAAAGGACCTGGAGCGGGGTGGCAATGAGGAGTAGGAGGCGCGTGGATGCACAAGATGAGTTTTGCTGCCTCTGCTGCGTGTGTGTGGTGCTGCCTGAGCATTTTCAGCTCTCCCTCGTGTTTTGGGGCGGGCAGAGGTTTGGCCACGCTTGTGGCACGTTGCCTCGGGTCAGGCAGAGCTGGGGGGGAATCAGGATCTCTTGTACATCTGCTTTTCCAATTCCATTAAAGTGCAGTCTTGGAGAGGCAGGAGTGGAGGCCTGGCCTTGTGAGAAGGAGCAGCGTGGGCAGGGCTGGGTGGGATATCCCAGCTGTGTCCCTGCCCCGATCCCAAGAATTCAGCTCCTGTGGCCAAGCAGACTCATTCCAGCGCTGCAGGGATCGAGCTCAAACCTTGCTGTGGCTGGGCTCATTTTTCATGGAATGGGCTGAGGATGGACGTGCTGGATTCTAAGAATAAGCAGAACCAGCTCCTGCACTTCCCTGTCTCTGCTGGAAACGCTCCAGATGACACATTTTATTTAGCAGTCATGTGGGGAGCAACATGAGATGGCTTTTTGGGGCTCACTTCCATTTCTCCAGGAGCTCTGGCTCCTGATTTCCCTGCCCCAAGCCCTGCTGGAGGTGACAGACCAAAGGAGCCTGAACCAGCCCTCATTCCCAGGCCAGTCACATCCACCAGGCTCCTCTTGACAGGGCTGCAGCAGGGAGGCTGATGGATAATTTTTGAGATTTTCAGAGTTGACCTGGCAGAAAGAAAAAGAAAATGGTTCTGGAAATGGTTCATTCAGCCCAACAATTTGCTCTTCATGCAGTTGCACTGGGTCAAGCTGTGGAAGAGTAATAGCAAAAAACAGTGGAGTGGAAGAGAGGCATTTTTGGGGAGAATCTTGAAGAGAGTCCGTATTTGTGCTCACTGGAACGAGAAGGAACAAAAGCTGCAGTCAGTCACCTGACAAAGAATTTCTGGTCACTGTGAGGGACCATTTTCTCAACCACTAACTCAAGGAAAGGCACATTTAGGAATGGCCAGGCCTGCAGGTTTAGCACCACACCAGTTTCAAAACCAGGGTCTATTTGTACTTTCCTGGAAGACCTCCAAGTAAATAAATCACCTCAAAAATTAAAAACCAGCAGCCCACCCCCGTGAGTTTTCTGATATTCTGGGGGGTCCGTGGCTGCATCCCTGAGCCCTCCAGCACGGTGGCATTGGCTGGCACAAAATCAGCATCCCCAGCAGAGATCCTGTGCCTTTGTGCCAGGTACAGAACACAGATGGGTGCTGGGCTTGTTTAACACACCCACAGCTTCTCCCAGAGCAGACAATGCTCCATGCACAGGCTCTTCCTCCTCCTGAAAACCCAGGGGATGATGTCCTTGTCCTCCTTCACCCCCAGGATGCTGCCAGAGCTCCCAGGAGAGCTTCCCTTTCAGCTTCCCCGAAATTCCCCCCAAGCACAGCTCCTGTAAATCATTTATCACATTTATCACCACCGTGCTTGGAGGGCCAGCACAAGGGGATGGCTTCCACAGGGATGTTGGGAAGGAATTATTCCCTGTGAGCGTGGGCAGACCCTGGCATAGAATTCCCAGAGCGGCTGTGGCTGCCTCTGAATCCCTGGAAGTGCCCAAGGCCAGGCTGGACAGGCACCTGGGACAGTGGAAGGTGTCCCTGCCGTGGCAGGGATGGAGCTGGATGAGCTTTAAGGTCCCTCCAACCCAAACCATTCCATGATTCCATGAAATCCTGCTCCAGTGGGAGCAGACACCCAGCCTGCGGCTTCAGGCCACGGCGTGCTGCTCCCTCCCAGGCTGCCGGAGCTGTGGCTGGGACCGGGCACTGCTGATGCCTGAATTTGGAGCCCACAAGAGCAATGCCCGTCCCTGGAGAATTGCTCAATGTGCAGGATAAAAAAGATGCCAAGTTCCTGTGCTCCTTCCTTCCGGCACAGCGAGGAGGGGGAGAGGAGCTGCCCATGGGCAGAGCCGGCGTTGCTCCTCTCCAGCTCCTCTCCAGCTCCTCTCCAGCTCCTCTCCAGCTCCTCTCCAGCTCCTCTCCCTTTCTCTGCTCGGCCCCATGGAGAAGCTCCTGCACCTCACCTTGGTCTTCCTGTCAGGTAAGAACCACACGTGGTTTTGGGGTCAGGTAAAGGGGGAAGGATTGGGGCAAAGCTTTGTCTTGGTCTGAAGGCGCCATCCTCAGAGTTTTCCCTTTATTTAGCAAAGGAGCACCCATCAAAGGGTGATCCCAGATTTCCTCACAGGGATCCTTTTGAGTCAGAACAGGAAACACTGATGAGAGAAGTCCGGTGTGCAATGTGAAATTGCAAAATCCCGGGTTGTTTGCATTAGCAAATGGGATTTACATCGATGCAAATGATCGCAGGTGGGGCTCAGGGAGGGAAATAAAACCCAGAGAAGGGCCCAGCTCTGCAACCCCTGAGAGCTGGGTTTTCCAGCTTGGAGAGGAATGTCCATGTGAAATGAGGTACAGGGCCCAGGGGGGCTCCCTGCAGCTCTTTGGGGGATCCCAGATCCTCACAGCAGTGCCGGGAAAGGCAACAGCCTCGGGCTGGGGGAGCACAGGAACCTGTCCCAAAAATTGGGATGAGTTTGGGAAAAGTTCACTGTACTTTGACCAGCGGCACCCAAGAAGAGAGGAGGAGCACCAGTAGCGACCTGCCAGCAAAATTGGTTGGGAAGAGAATAACACAACATTTCCCAAAGGGATGTGAGGAATCTTTCAGTGATTCTGTTTGAGAGATGTTTGGCAGTGCTGTGGGAATTCCGGGACCGAAGGGGCAGAGCTGGAGGAGGGAAGGGGGAATAGGAGAAGCAGTTAAAGACTTTTGGAGGGATTGAGCAGGACTGGACTGGATATTCCATGAGATAAACCCTGACTGGAACAACCAAGGGGAGCAACACATCAGGATAAAGGCCTGTGGGTGTTGGATTGCAGAGCACAGACCCATTTTAGGTCTTCTTCAAGTCAAGCTGAAAGAACTTCATAATTTTTAGTTTACAATTCACTTTGAATTGTTGGAATTATTGTAAGAAGTGTTATTAAAAGGCTCAGCCAGTACAAAGTCCTCACAAGAGCCTATTTTTAAATTTACCTCTGTTTCATCATTACTTACCGTCTCACAGAAGCATTTGCCTGTGACTTTTTTTCACTAGAAATAGAGATTTCCACAAATACCACACTGCACTTCTCTCTGGAAGTATTAATAGCTCAGACTGTCTTCTCTGCCTGTCACAAAGAGGAATGGAAATTAGAAATGAGGAACCAAGACAATAAAAAAAAAAAAAAAAGTCAAGCAAAGACCAGTTGTCAACACAGTTAAAATTAGTGAGATATTAAAAGATGGGGTGAAAAAGAATTAAACTGGATTTGAACACTGAGAGTGGGACTCAGAAGGAACCAGTGAGCCGGGCACTGGTTTGGAGGTGTCACTGGGACAAATTCCAGAATATCTGAGCCAAATCTGGGTACAGCTGATGGGGGAAGCGGACAGGTGACACCCTACAGGTGACACTTCTACAGGTGATAACCCCACAGGTGACACCCTACAGGTGACACTTCTACAGGTGATAACCCCACAGGTGACACCCTACAGGTGACACTTCTACAGGTGACAGCCCCACAGGTGACACCCTAGAGGTGATAACCCCACAGGTGACACCCTACAGGTGACAGCCCTACGGGTGACATCTCCAGAGGATGACAGTGCCGTTCAGCATCTCCACAATGAGGGACAGACCTGGGAGAGGCTTGGCTCACCCCCACCCCTGTCCCTCCGTCCCTCGTAGCGTCCTGTGCCGCAGAGAACGTCACCGTGGTGGCCGCCATGGAGGGGGACACCGTTTCTGTCAACTGCTCCTACGACCCGCGGCAGTGGTGGCGGGAGAAGAGCTGGTGCAGGCAGCTGGACCAGAGCCGGTGCCAGCGGGTGCTGAGCGCCCCGCCCGCATGGCTGCCCTTCCCCAGGGCCAGGAGAGGCAGCACCTCCCTCAGGGACAACGCCCGCGCCGGGCTCCTGACCGTCACCATGGGCCACCTCCGCAAGGAGGACGCGGGGCTCTACCAGTGCACAACGGAGTTCCTGGGAGACACCAAGAGCCTGAGGAAGGTGCGGGTGGAAGTGCTGGCAGGTACGTCCCAGGGCTGCGGGTTTGGCGGGTTCCTGCTGGAATTTCATGGGTTCCTACTGGGATTTCACATGGTCCTATTGGAATTTCATAGGTTCCTCTTGGAATTTCACATGTTGCTACTGGAATTTCACATGGTCCTATTGGAATTTCACATGTTGCTACTGGAATTTCACATGGTCCTATTGGAATTTCACATGGTCCTATTGGAATTTCACATGGTCCTATTGGAATTTCACATGGTCATATTGGAATTTCATAGGTTCCTCTTGGAATTTCATGGGTTCCTACTGGAATTTCATGGGTTCCTACTGGAATTTCACATGGTCCTATTGGAATTTCACATGGTCCTATTGGAATTTCACATGGTCCTATTGGAATTTCATAGGTTCCTCTTGGAATTTCACGGGTTCCTACTGGAATTTCACATGTCCCTACTGGAATTTTATGTGTCCCTACTGGAATTTTATGTGTCCCTACTGGAATGTCACATGGTCCTACTGGAATTTTATAGGTTCCTACTGGAATTTCATGGGTTCCTACTGGAATTTTATAGGTTCCTACTGGAATTTCATAGGTTCCTACTGGAATTTCATAGGTTCTTACTGGAATTTCACATGGTCCTATTGGAATTTCATAGGTTCCTCTTGGAATTTCACATGTTCCTATTGGAATTTCACGGGTTCCTACTAGAATTTCACATGGTCCTACTGGAATTTCATGGGTTCCTATTGGAATTTCATGGGTTCCTATTGGAATTTCACATGGTCCTATTGGAATTTCATGGGTTGCTACTCGAATTTCATGTGTTCCTACTGGAATTTCATGGGCTTCTACTGGAATTTCATGGGTGTCTGCAGCTTCCCAGGGCCCACTTGAGTCAATATCTACTTTTGTCTCGCTCTAAGGAGGTTCTGTGTTTCACTGCCTCTCTTTATTCCTGACTTACAGCAGCATGACCTCACTGTTAGAGGGTATCTGTCACGTCACCTCCTTATTGCTCCCAGTGCCCCGTCTCACCAGGGTTACCTGCCCAGCTGAACATCACCCAAAACACCTGCAGACTAAACTGTTGTGCTTCCATCAGCAGCTGAGCTGGTCACCCACGTGCCAGAGGAGCCCAGAGCTGTGCAGAGCATCTCCAGGTGAGCCCAAAACTCTTCGTGCTGAGATCGCACACCTTCCTAGGACTAAGGCAGCATTACAAGAGATTTTTTTTCAAGGTTGGACCATCCCCTTCATGGTTGCGTTTCTGCCTCCCCTCAGGTCCTCTCCTGATGTGGATTTCACTGTTTTCTACATCCTGGCTGGATTCCTGGTGGCCAAGTGCACGGTGGCCGTGCTGGTCTGTGCTGTTGCCCACAGCAAGAAGAACAGGGAGCGGGGGCAGAACCCAGGTCCAGGTGAGCAGCAGGTGCTCCCTCTCCCTGCTGACCTTGGACATGGTGGAGTTGGCCTCTCCTGGGAGAGCTCTGTGTGAGCCAAGCCAAAGGGAATCCATGGAAAAGGCAAATCAGGGCTTTGCCATCTGCCCTAAGGAAAGGATCACTACTAAGCACAGGTCTGGAAGAGCCTGTCACTCTGGAGAGGAACGTCCCCATCTTCTTCATCACCACTTCCCTCGGTACCTCATCCCCAGGCAGTTATTCCAGACTTCATTCCCAGGACCATCCCATCAGTTTGAACGGACACCCATCAACTTCCTGTCACCTCAGGTGACACATTCTGTCTTTCCAAGGCGAGGAAGAGCAGCTCCCAAAAGCTGATTGGAGAAAATCCTCGTGGAAAGGAGCTGCAGGACACACCAGGAAAGGGATGTGGTCTCCTTGCGTCTCCGAGCCAGCTTCTCCTCTCTGAAGGGACTTTGTGGACACAGGAGCTGTCTCTCTGTTGTTCTCCCCATGTTTTCTCTCCCATGTGGTTGCTCCTTCCTCCCCACCGAGCTGCGCTCAGCTCTCCCAGGCCCCAAACCCACGGGCACTCACGTTTCTTTATCCCTGCAAAACTGAATAAAATCCATCTGGTTCTCTGGCCTGGTGTGGATTCCTGCAGGACGCCAGGTCACAGTGGCGTCCCAGATCAGAGGTGATGCTTGGAAAATCCTGGAGTGTTTAAACACCCAGGAGCACTCAGAGCCAGCAGGACAGGCTGGAACATCCAGAGCCAGCCCTGTGCAGGGACAGCAGCTCAGAGCCCAACCCCTCATTGCCCACAGAATCAAGGACTGAAATTTGCTTATTTTAATTCCACTTTTCCGTTCTCATTTTTAGAGTAGTACTGTGTTTTGTCCAGAAATTTAAATTCATGGGGGGACATCTGGCAACCTTTGTCCTTCTGAAGCCTTTCCTTCCCACCACTGTGAGGTTCTCAGTCTTAAATCAGCAACTTTTGGGGAAGAAAATCTGTGTTTGCTGCTCTCTCCTGGTGTAGACAGTGACTTGCTGTATGACTGAGAGGAATTTGCCATCTAAAATAAAAATATCTCCAAGGAAATAAAAATAAATGAATCAATAACTTACTGATTGCCATCAAAAACAAAGAATGTCATTTGGTAGGATTGTGTTAATCAAAACCAAATGGGTTTGGGGCAGAAGTACTTCTGGGGTTGGTTCTGTCCTTCCCCTGTTCCCTCTGTGCTGACGTTGGCTCTGCTCCTGTGGTGGGTGACCTGGACACTCCATGGGGTTGTTTTTTCCTGTCTTCCCTCACCCCGATGAATCACAGCTTGAGGCTCAGCAGAACTTTTGGGGCTGTTTGCAAAAAAAAAAAAAAAGGAAAAAAAGGAAAAAAAGGAACTCCCTCTCCATCATGCCAACAGGAAACTCCAGCCCTGTGTTTGGGGCAAAATGCTGTCCCAAATTCAAGGTAACCCTGATCAAAGTCGCATTTACCACGCATCCCCTCTGCTCTCCCCCAGTTTCATGAGACAAGGAGGAAATATTTGCAGCCGTAGATGAACCAAGGCTGACCTTCAGAAAGCCAAAACCACTTCAAACCACCCAGCTCGGTTAGTAGCCAGCTGCTGAGGGTGGTGATGGGCTGAAGGAAAAGAAAGCTGGGTGCACATTTCCCTGGAAAATAACTGCACTTTTCTGACAGCACAGCAAACCCAGAGGAAAGCTGTGGTGCATTTTCTTTTCCAAATGACTCTATTTTTAAATAGCAGAGAGTTATAAACCCAAATAAAGGAAACTGCTTGTGTCTGCAGCAGCTGATACAGCACCACAGCCAGGCCAAGTGAGCTGCTTCCTCTGGACTTAAATATTCACAAAAAAACCTATGAATTACTTCCCATTCTGGTAAGATTCAGCAAAGTGGTAAAAAATCTGCTTTATTTTAAAACTATGAGATTTTTCCTGGGCTTCAGAAAGACAAGTAATGCGTTTGACATGTTCTAATAAACAAGGGGTTCTTGGAAAATATTTGTCTACCTTATAGTGTACACTGTCATCAGCTTGAGCTCCTGGGGTGGCATTTACACTCCAAATGATTCGTTTTACAAAGAAATAATTCTGTATTTCCCTGTTTGTTGTTTATTAACACGCACCTGTCCTCCAGGATAAATCTAGCTTGATTTTATTACAAATTACACCCCTGTTGATCCACCTACAGAATCCTGTTATTGTGGTGACATGAGCAAACATCCCTCAGGGATTATGGATAAATCCCCAAATTCAACTGACCGAGATTTTCCTCTTAATTCTGCAAGCTGCTGACTGAGGGTGCAGACAGGACACAAAATTGAGTTTAATTTTTGGATCTCAAGCTTGCAGGAAGACTCCAGCCTGGATGCTGGGTGGCAGGGGAGGGAAGGAAGGTGGAAATCCATCCATGGATTGGATCAACTCTGCTCTCTGAGTGATTATCCTGATCTGAAGGTGAGGGTGAGAGGGAAAAGTAAATTCTGTTGCCTGCTTTGATGTGGCAACACAATACCAGGGTTTTTTACCAGCGTATCTGAGATTATTTAATTGTTCTACTGCAAATTCTCTGGAAAAAAAAAAAATTTAAAAAAAAAAAAAAATATATATAGCTAGAAAATTACATAATAGCCAAAGAAAGTGGCCTGTGGCCCTGAGCTTCCAGCCACCCCAAAGCCCCCCCTGCCCTCCCCACACCCCATCACAAAATTCCCACCACAGAGCAAAAGCTGTGTCAGTTTATAAATTTTATTAGCTGGAGAGTGTACACAGTACTTACAATTGCATCTATTAAAGACCAAAATACACTTGAAAAAATGCATCATATAAAAAAAATTAAAAACTTTGAACTATGTACAAACTTTGCCTGACATTACGTTTAAGCTCAGGACCCTCCCACGCCCCTTCACAAAAGAAAAGTTTATTTTTCTCCCTCTTTTTTTAACATGCAGGGCCTTAAAGCCATTTAGCATCACTTGAGGACCATTTTTATCCAAATCCTGATCTTTACACTCCTACAAATCTGGGTTTTGATGGGTTTGATGCTTCACTGCTCCAGGTCAATCAAACACATTTCTTCCCAAACCTCTTCTTTCATCCTCACTCACTCTTAACTCACTCCTAAAGTGAAGTTTTTGCTCAAGTGTAGCCAATCTACAAAGAATTCCAATTTAATTACTAGGGAGGTTTGAATTGGACATGTCTCCAATTTTAATAGATTTCCCTGGAAAAGAAAGCAGATATTTTTGGTACCGTGGTGCTGACTGCTGGCTCCAACCTCACCAAATAAACACAACTTTCAGCAGTGATACACAGAACACAAAACAAATAAAAAAAATGATAGGAGCTCTCTGGCTTTCACATCACTATTTAAAATATTAATAAGACTTCCTAGAACACAAATCCATTATTTCTTCACACACAACCTACAACAGCAGATCAGAGAACCTAGATATGAAAGGATATTGGGAAAAATTTACAAAGTAATTACTTGTTAAAAAAAAAAAAAAAAAAAAATCTATGTCAGAGCAATAATTTTGCTTCTTGAACTTCCAGCTCTCAAAAAGGTGTTTCAGGACAGATTTACCATCAACTGAAGAGCAAAAACAAGGAACTCACAAAGAGGATCCAACATTTCTCCTCCCTCTGATACTCTCAGGTTGAGTATTTTTCTTTCATCCAAAGGAAACAGCATTTTCCAGGCTCTGTTTCCTTCCTGCTGATTTATCCTCCACTTTGTCTTTAGCTTCCAATAAATGGGAAAAGATGGGAGGGAGGAAATACAATTTCCAAACTGCATTTCCTTGTCACTTTAAATCATTTAACCCAGCCTCACCCATCCCTGGCAGCATTTCCTCAAAAATTCCTCATTCTTCAGCTCCACCTGGCCAGGTTCACGTCCACCACGCAACATTCCCACCCCCAAATTTCACTGCTGTGATCCAGCCTGAACTACAGGACACAAAACCTGGAAATTCTGGGACTCCAGCAGGCAGATGATCCCCAGAGCAGCTGTGCAACTCAAGGTGAGAGGGGACAGGAGTGCCGTGGTGAGAAATCACCTGTTAAATGTTTTTAACTACTGCTCCCATCACCAAAATTCAAATTATAATAGAGCAAGCTTAGAATCTAAATTAAAACTGTGTTCTGTGGAGATGCTCAGCCCAAAGCCAGGTGTAGGTAATGGAAAAATCCTATTTTTTAATAATCTAAGTATTGCTCCTTCACTAAGTGCCACTTTTGTTTTGTTTTTAAGAGCTTAATTTATAAAGTGTGGAAGGTTCATCAGTATCTGCTGAGTCCTTCAGGTACCTGGGACTGAGCTGCCCCAGCTGCTGCTGTCCTGAATCATCCCTCACTCTGGAATTATAGAAATGATTTAGGCATCAGAAACTCCAGCCCAACCATGGCCAAGTGCCACCCCTGTGACACTGAGGGTTCCACTGTGACACTGAGGGTCTCTTGGAGGAACCATGGACTTCACTGGCAGGTGAAAAAAATTTAAAAAAAAAAAAAAAAAAGAAAATTCTTTGGAAGAGACTCATTGAAAAGTTTCAATCCTTTCTATACTCGCATCCAGTTTTCTTCCAAAGCAACAAATACTGGCAATGAACATCCAAACCCACCCAGAAACTGATTTACTGACCCAATCCCCCCCACATCTCCCTCTCCCACCCCTCTCGCAACAGAGACACAACACATCAAGTCCTGCAGTAATCTTGACTATTTCTAGCATTGATTGGATGGCTGAACCTGTCCCAGAGAAGAGCTTCTTCACACATGTACAAGGAGGAATTGAAAAGAATCCCCTTCAGTTTCTGCCAGGGTCACAGGTGCAACAGCAGGGCCCAGCTCAGGGAAAACCAAGTCCAAAGGGGTGAGGAGTGGATGGAATAACAAATCTCTGCTGGGCAAACCCAGCCCTGTGGGTTTGCCAGCACTGAAACCCATCCAGTGCTGGCTGGAGGAGCTGGAATCTGTCCCTGGACAGGGCTGAGCTGCACCAGCCACAGGGATTGAGGTGGGAAGATGAAGGAAAGCCAAAGACGGGCGCTCAGACTCCGAATTCCCTGTGCTGGATCAGGAGAGGGCACCACGGAAGCCTGAAAGGTTCTGTTTGCAGAGTTGAAACCTCAAGCACGTCCTCAACACGTGGTGCTTGCTCTGTGGAAAAGGACAGGCTGTGACATGGAGATTGTCCCACTCCAGGACTCACTGGACACTCTGGGCAGGCAGGACAGGCTGGCAGGAGGGACGGGAATTCCCTTCAGGTGTTCTTTCCTGGAAGCTGGGGTTAGGAGACCCTGATCATCTGTGTCATTGCTTCTTCGTTGCTTTGAGTTGGATCCTGCAGACACAAAAGGGTGGAAATTCCACGTTTTTCCATGAAGCAGAGAGAACCACACGGAACCATCAGCAGGACACACTCCTGCATTTCCCTTGATCTCCAAAACTGTCCTATTTTTCCTGGGTTTTACAGGCCAGGGACACAAAAATCCTAATACCTCCCAGGAATTTGTTGTTTCTGGTATTTAGGAATGATTTTAGTTCAAAATAAGAAACACTCCCTAAAGGCATAGGACTGTTCTAAAGTACTGAGCAACCACAGAATCTGTTAATTCCACTCCATTATGTCCCTTCCTTTGAAAAATGCCTTGCACCTTTTATGCACATCAAGATGCAGCTAAGAATCAGATATTCCCATTTTTTAATTTTGCATCAGATGTAAAGTTAAGGAGTCTCTACCTTTAATTCATTCCTGAAAGAAAACCCCTGTACCCAAAAGGGGTACAGCCCAGAAAAGCTGTTTTTACACACACAGAATGTTTGTGTGCATTTATCCTAAGAACTACAAAGTGAACACATTTCTATCCACATTAATTTAATTCCCTTGCTCTCCACAAGCAGCAACAGGAGGTTTTATTCCCAATGCTTGGAATAAATCTAAAGGCAGGGAAGGCCAAGGAGCAGCAGATGAAAAATTCAGAGGCAGGGAGGGACGAGGGTCAGCAGCCAAGCCCAAAAACCCAAACAAAGCAGCACAGACACCTCTGTGTGTGCATCCTGAAGGCTGGAAGGGGGATTTGCCCCAAACCCCACTCACCTGCATGTGAGGGCTGTCCTTTTCCTTGGGGGAGAAGAAGCGACCCCCCTCTCCCCGTTTCCTGGCCATGGCATGCCGGTGCCGGGACTCGTGCAGGTATTTCTGCAGTGAGGGAAGGGGCAGCTGAGGGAGCAGCCACTGCTTTCCCAGGGGAAATTCCCAGTCCCCATCCATCCCCACAGATTCCCAGTCACTGCTTTCCCAGGGGAAATTCCCAGTCCCCATCCATCCCCACAGATTCCCAGTCACTGCTTTCCCAGGGGAAATTCCCAGTCCCCATCCATCCCCACAGATTCCCAGTCACTGCTTTCCCAGGGGAAATTCCCAGTCCCCATCCATCCCCACAGATTCCCAGTCACTGCATTCCCAGAGGAAATTCCCGGTTCCCATCCATCCCCTGCCCCACAGACACTGTGCTCACAGTCAGTGCATGCTCACACAGCTCCAGGCACTCCCAAAAACACCCAAAAGCAGAATTATCCTCAAGGGACTTAAAAAAATTTACTCTGATGTAGCTCATCAACAACAACAAAAACATTGTTGAGGAACACCAAGATTCTAATCCTCATTTTGCAGCCCAGGTGGGATTCTGTGCCTTTGACACAGAGCAACCCCGTGTTAGATCTGAGTTTTCCTCTCACCCTTCTCTCTTTGGGGATTTTTCCCTCTGCCTCCAGCTTGGCCCGTGCCTGCCTCCTCTTCAGGATGCGGTGGTACTGCTTGGCATTGACGTAGAGGGGCTCCTCCTCCAGCATCTCTGCTCCAGGCAAAGGGATCCTCTGGATGGCTGGGACTGAGCCAGCCCCAGGCACCATCTGTGCACACAGGGTGGGTTAGTCCTTGCAGCTCAGAGCACAAAATGAACATTTTTTTGAACACAAAAATGTCATTAAAAACCCCAGCATTGAAACAGAAAGTGGGTTTTGCTCAGCTAACGCAGCTGCTTAAATGAAAAGGAGCAATGAAGCTGTTCTCAAACTGCAAAACCAGTCTAAACAAATCAGTCCTGCTGGGTTTTCCTGATAAAAGTAACAGTTCAATACAATTCCTCGACTGTGTTGCTGCTTCTTGGACAATTAAACAAACAGGACATGGCTGTTTAACCCTTTCTTTTGGGTTATCTCTCATTTCAATTATTTCATTTCAGAGCACCTCTGAGCCAACACTGCAGAGCTGCTGACATCTAGTGGGGACCAGCAACATTCAAGAGACTCACACCACAAAGAAACAGGAGCTGGCAGGAAAAACCTCTATACATGAAGGAAACAAATCCTCAGGGACCCTCAAGAAAAGTGACTCAACCTATTTAAACCTTTGCTCATCAGCTGACAGCTCAGTTTGGATTTCTGTATTTCTGAGAAAGTCCAGAGCAAAGATCACAGCAGGATCCAGGCCTTTGAAGCTAAAAATTTGTATTTTTTAAACATTAAACTAATGGAACTTACAGAGAGGACTGACCATGGTATCTCAATCTCAGACAAGAATTTATTAGAGAACCAAGGAATCACAGAATGGTTTGGGGTGGAAGGGACCTTAAGGATCACCCAATTCCTTCTGCCATGGGCAGGGACACCTTCCACTGTCCCAGGCTGCTCCAGCCTGGGATGGAGAAGCCACAGCTTCTCTGGGGTCCCTATGCCAGGGCCTCCCCACCCTGCAGGGAGAAATTCCTTCCCAATATCCCACCCAACCCTGCCCTTGACTTAAAGCCATCCCCACTATCCTACCCCTACCCCTGTGCAAATCCTGCTAGGTTTGAGTACAAACACCTCAGAGCCCAGCCTCCAGAGGCAGCAGTGGGAATTTTACACCTACCATGACCATTCCCCCTGAATTGACCACGTTCCCAGCCACTGGCAGTGTCACTGTCACCGTCCCCTGGCCACTGCTGGTGGTGTTGGTGTTGGCTCCTGTTTGGACAATCTGGGCTCCAGCCAGGCTGGCTGCAGGAATGGTGATCATGCCTGTAACAGGGACTGTAACTTTAAGGAAGTAGAACACAAAAGGAAAGGAAAAAACAAAAAGAAAAAAACAAGAAGAAAAAAAAAAAGAGAGAGAGAGAGAAAAAAAAAGAAACAAAAACATGCACACAAAAAGAAGGGAACAGCATTAGTCCCACTTCTGTGTTTTACTCATTCATCCTTCCAAAGCATGCAGAGAGTCAAGAAAGTGCTGAAGTGAGGGATTAAATTCCACCAGAATTCCTGGTTTTTGCATTTGTAACCTCACTGTGAGTAACCAAGTACTCTTGAGATGGAAAAGCAAAATTAAGGGGTTTTATTCTACCAGCCCTTGCCAGAGACAAGGAGGTTTTCTGTTTCTGGGGAAAGAACCCCAGAGTGAATTCCTGCAGAGCACACAACACCTCAATAAATAAAAAGCCTCTCAAAGAGGTGCCCTGGCTCCTCCCAGCCCTCCTACCTTGCTGCAGGATGGTGCCATCAGCATTCACAGGCTGGTACACGATGGTCTGGCCCTCAGCAGCCTGGGCAACCTGCTGGCCTTGCACTGCTATCTGCTGCTGGGTCTGAACAAAACAAAGAGCACCAAAATGTTACAAATTGCCTCTTTTTTCCCAGTGTTTACAATTCCTGAATGAACACATGGTGCTTGAGGTGTTCCAGGTGTCTATTTCTGCTGCCTCATTAGCAGCAGTAAGAAACAGGCTGGAGCATAGAGCAAATACCTGGAGATCAAACACCTGAAGCACATGTAAGATGCATTTTTCAACAGTTCAATAATGAAAAACCCAAATTCTAGGTTTCCTGTCTCACTATGAAGATGTGAAAGGAAGAACTGTTCTGCTCCAAAATTTAATTTTAGCCCTAACCAAAAGCATCAGCAGAATCCCCAGGTGTGACTGCACACAATGGCCCAAGTATGGAATTAGCAATGCTTCATGTTTTCAAAATTCAACAAAGAGACAAAAACAACCACGAACCAATAAAATACAGAAACACGATGGAGAAAAACATGCAATCTAATTTTTCTGCCCCAGAGTCATGTATGAAACACTACAAAAACATGACACTTATTCTCAATTTCTCCTCAATATTAAGAATTCCTTTTTTTTTTTTTCTCCTTTGTGGTTTTTTTGTTTTGGTTTTATTTTTTTTTTACTTAACCACATCTTAGATCATTTGCCAAGTTTCTCTTCCTGCTCCTCTGCAGAAAAGCCTTTCATGCTGGTGCAGTTACCTGTGTCTGGCCAGCAGTAACTGCAGTCTGGGGCTGCTGTATAATGATCTGCTGGGTCTGGCCCTGCTGCCCCTGTACCTGCACAGCCTGCCCACCTTGAATCTGAATCTGACCTGGCTGGACCAACTGAATCTGTGGAAGAAAGAGTCAGAAAGGAACATTAACTATGCCCCCCTCCTCGGCCTCAGCATGACCAAGTCATCTCTGAGGGTGATTTAGTTACACAGAAAAAGGAAGCAGGGAGTCTTCTCTTTTTCCAGTTGAGAATGAGGAGTTTTAGTGGGTTGCTCCCTGTGACACAGCCACGCAGGGCAGAGGGAGCAGCGTGCTGTGTCACTCTGCTCCAGCAGTTCTGCACTGCTTACACAAGAAATCAATTATTCACATCCACTGGGAACAAACAGTCAGGTGGAAAAGGAGGACTAAGATTTAAGACATCTGTGGGGTGTTAATTATCCAGCACTCAGAAGTACTTCTGGGATATAAAAAGTTGTCCTCAGCTTTGCAGAGTTTTTCCACCACTGTGGAACATTCTTGGATTAAAAAAGAAGAGCTGGAATACGGTTTGAAGTTTGTGTTTAAAAACACAGTTACGGATTTTCCTCCACCAACCAGACTGAGAAGAACCTCATACAAGTTACAGCGGTTTTCAACAAAGGAAATATTAAATAAACCTCTCAAAACACCAAGACATCATTTGCCTTCCTGGACTGTGCTGGGTTCCTAAATCCCATCCTAAATCATCAGTACACTTTCATTATGCCATGGTTATAGTTCTTCCCTTCCCTTTTCAGGAACACTTCGAACACTCTTTATATCTTTTAAACAGGTAATTACTTCCAAAAAAATCCATTTTCTACACCTCCTTCACTATTGCCTTCTGTGCAACAAGGATGTTTAAATCCCCCTTCAGCCATCACGTATTAGAGGGCTTTAAGCACAAATTACTTGCAAGAAGCTTTTAAAAATAATTAATTTTTTAAAATCCTCCTTCTGAACCATAAATTGAACAGGCACCAGATCCCAACTACATTGCAAGGGCCACATAAAATATCCCAACAAACAAAAATCCTGCTCTGTGGGAAGATATCCCTGCCTATGGCAGGGGGGTGCAACTGGATGAGCTTAAAGATCTCACTGAACCCAAATCAATGAGAAACCCCAAACCAACCCAGCTGTTTTAGCATTGAACTTATAAGGTCTGCACCAGGCCATAAAACATAAAAAGGACTTCCACTCATCCCCAGCGTGGCAGAGGCACAGAGCAGCAGCTCAGTGTGGTTTTGGGGTGCTGAGCAGAGCCCTGTGTGGCAGTGTGCCCAGTGCCCCAGGGTTGTTGGGGAAGATGAAACAAGAAACCCTTATAAATAGGATTGCCTGGCAAAAGATTTAGGAAATACAGAGATTGAGATGGTAACGAGTTGTGAGATACCAAACCTTAGTTACCGAACAACTAGAAAACAATAGTACAGCCAGGATGAGGACAATCCCCCTTCTGGTTGGACAATGCCCTTACCTACAGGTAGGTCCAAGGGTCAGATGGACTGTTGGATCTCACCCCAATGTGTGGTTCATCCACACCTGAAACCTCCCCTGAAGCATCAGGAGTCTGTGACCCCACTGGCCTAAATCTTGTTCCAGCCCACCTTGAACCCCCTGACAAGGAGTCCCTGAGGAGCCAGATGCTCTCTTGGAACTTCTGTTCTCTTGGAAGTGCCCCTCTCCTGAACATCCTCTTGGGATCCTCTCTTATCTCCCTCTGCCCCTTGCCTCTCCCTTCCTCCACGCCCTGGGACCTGCCACGGGTCTCATCTGGTGACTCCAAGCAGGGCCTTCCACCCTCTCTAATAAACCAGATATTCCAAGAGCAGCTTCAGAGATCTCTGCTCTCCATCCACCCAAACCGTCCTGGAGCCCAGCGTCCCCGCACCGGGTGTCTCACCTGCTGCAGCCCCTGCGTGCCGGACACGGGCACCTGCATGATGGTCTGGCCCTGGCCCCCGGGCACGGCCTGCACCATGATGGGCTGGCCCGTGGAGGTGATGAGCTGCCCCCCGCTCACCTGCACCATCAGCGGCTGCCCCTGCACCTGCAACAACAAGGCAACAATGAAAACCCCGCCAGAGCGGCCCCAGAGCTCAGCCCTGGCCGTGTGGGGGCAGAGGAACTGGGGAACAGGCACTGAGCTGCTTCAAAGCAGCTCTGGGTTCCAGCATGTGCCATGGATTTAGTGAGTTATCTGCTTCTCCTGCAGTCTAGGTGTTATAAAGCATGAAAACCACATTTTCCAGCCACTACCTTCATGCACAGCCCAAGAGCAAAGTGGGATAAAAAACATTATTCATCTCACAATTACTGATTTTTAGTTGAGGTTCCTATTGAGAGAACTCTGTTCTGACAGGGAGGTTCTGAGGTGGCTTCAGCTCCCTCCAATTTCATGCCTACAACATTCCCATTTCCAAACTGACAGGGAGCATGGGATGTGCTGGGAGAAACTCTCCATGGTTATCGAGGGAAATTCTAACTGGAGCAACACGAAATGGAGTTCAGGGAAGAAAAGTCAAAGTGGATGAGCAGCAGCCACTTCTGGGCCCAAAAAGGCTTAAACTGGATATATAAATATAAAGTGTGAGGGTGGGGAACCCTGGCACAGGCTGCTCAGAGAAGCTGTTGGCTGCCCCTGGATCCCTGGAAGAGTCCAAGGCCAGGCTGGACAGGGCTTGGAGCAGCCTGGGACAGGGGAACGTGTTGGGGTTGGAACTGGGTGAGCTTTAAGGTCCCTTCCCACCCAAACCAGTCTGGGATTCTGAGGTAACTTTGGCCTGAGAATCTCTGGACTCTTGGACCTGGTATTTCTCTGGTCACTGGGAAAAAGGCCCATGGAAAATAAAACAAGGGGAAAACCTCTCTGTTTGAACCCTCTCACCTGCCAAGTCCCCAGATTCCCAAAACACATCTTGAAAAATACTCTACCTCCACAGCTTAAATGCAAAATGAGTCTCATGAACTCGGGGATCACAAAATCTGATTTGTTTAGGAACAAAAACATCACAATGTGGTAAAGTCACCCAGTTCCTGTGTTTCACACCCAGGGGGTGAGGAGCCAAATCCTGCCCTGGGAATTGGAGTTTCCAGGTCCCCACTGTGTCCCTCAGCCTGTCCATGTCCCATCCAAAGCCCTCAGCCCCTGGGCTGGGTCACACAGGGAGGAGCATGCTCAGGTCAGCACAGAGAAGCACAGGCAGCAGCACAATATCCAAGAAGCAGAAAGGAAAACAAGACATTCCAGGATTTTTGTTAATAAATCACAGCAAGGCAAAATAGAAAAAAAAAAAAAAAATGGTGAGGAGAACATAACAACAACCAGAGGCCCCAGTGAGCCCAGCAATCCAAGTCAGGCAGCATCTGAGATTTGAACTCTGAACATAAAAAATGCTGTGTTAATTCTGCAGCTGGCAGGGCCAGTCCAGCCCCTTGGAGCCACCCTGCCCCAAAGAACTACAAACCAAACCAGAACACTGAGTGCAAAACTGCCACGGCTGCCCAGGGTCTGTCAACTGCTCTACAAAGGGCTCCTGGAAAGCTCCTGGGTGAGTTAAGGAAGTGGAGGCTGCAAGATAGAAAATACTTCACACTGAAACCAATTTCTTTCCAAACTGGGATGTGCTGCTGTTTGGATCCACATGGCTCCTGGGTTTCCCTGTGCTGTTCATAGGTAAAGAAGAAATTGGATTTCTCAGTGCCAATCTTGTGCCCAGGTGCCTTTTCAGTCCCAGCTGAGGTTCCACTGTCCAAGCTCGGGCTCTGGCACCACCTCTGTCTGCCTCAAGCAGTGAAGGCAGAGCCCTCCTCAGGGAAGAGCTCAAAACCCTAATTTCCTTGGAATTACAGGAAATCTTTGGGGTTTATCCCTACTGTTACTTCCTCATTTTGGTGTTTATCACTTTAAAGTCACACTGAACCACAATTCCCTTCCAGAATTCCTGGCATGCACCTGGGAACAGCTCCAATGCCAGCAGAGATTCCTGCTCCACATCCCCCTGCTCCTCCTGGAAACCCTGGGAAAACACAGCATTAGATATGTGGTGCTGGGGAGGGTCATGCAGTGCTCAGAAACACAATCAGAGAGGTCACCACTACCTGGAGGGTCTGGACTTGCTGGCCTGAGGCCGATGCCACCTGGGCCTCAGTCTGCAGCTGGACAGCTGTGACACCTCCCTGCTGCTGGGAACAGGAACAGGGAGAGCTTGAAACATGGAAATGCACAACACACTGCTGGGACAGGGGGTGGGGTTCATACACACTGCTCCAGCAACACCAGGAATGGGAATTTTAGCAAACCTAAGGGTGGAGTTCCCTGGAACTGCACGTGGCACTGCCAGGCTTCAATATTCCAACTCAGAGGGAACAGGACATTTTGGAGGATTTCAAGTTGTTTCAGGGTTTTAGTTCTGAAGTTTCAGGCTTCAATATTCCAACTCAGAGGGAACAGGACAGGTCATTTTGGAGGATTTCAAGCTCAGTTTCAGGGTTTTAGTTTTGAAGTTTCAGGCTTCAATATTCTAACTCACAGGGATAAGGACTAGACATTTTGCAGGATTTTAAACTCAGTTTCAGGGTTTTAGTTTTGAAGTTTCAGGCTTCAATAGTCTAACTCAAAGGGAACAGGACAGGTCATTTTGGAGGATTTCAAGCTCAGTTTCAGGGTTTCAGTCTGCTCACTGCCCAGGTTTGGCACTGTGAAGGGTTCCAGATTTTGGGCACACTGGTTTTTCCCAACAAAGCCCTTCCTGCAGCACAGTCTGAGCTCATCTCTGCCACCCCTGTGTCGGTGTTTGCCCACCAGGGACCCTGAGGGACAGTCTGGAGAGGCTGCAGGAGCAGCCAGAGCTAAAAGCCTTTTCTATCTTTAGCCTCTTTGCTCAGAGTCCCAAAATACTCCCAGGAACTGTGTTAGCATGGGGAGATGAAGGACAGCTCCCTCCCAAGTGCTGCAACAGCCTGGTTAAACAACTTATTTTAGCAAAGTGTTTCACATCAGACACAGGCTTCAAGTTGTGCTCAAAATGAAAGCCAAGAGTTAGTTTTATCTCCTTTTCACCTAGAAAATATCAATAAACCAACAACGTCTTTGGTTATCTGCTGTAAACAGGTATTTGGAATAATCCTTAATATAAAATGTTTTAATCTCAAGTGCAATCTTGTTCTAGCTGAAAAAGTCAACTGCAGCTAAAACCAGCAGAAGAATTTGGTCACTCCTGAGGCCAAAGCAAAGCAGATCTCCCTGAAAACATCATCAGTGGCTCAGCCCTTTGTGTGGCAAACCACCAAACCCCCTCAAACTAGAGCAGAAGATGCAACAAAAATTCAGCAGCAGCCGAAAACACATCCCCAAATCTGGATATGGAAATCAGTAAGACCTCTAAACTCAGCCCTGATATTTTACACATTGAAACATGAACTTCTTTGTGGGATGAATGAGTTCATCCTAAGCTACATGGCCAGTCAAATTCCTGTTCTGTGTCTTTGTTTTGCTCCATCTGTTGTTCTGAAACAAAGAATCTCTATAAATGTTCATTTCATAAAACTGGAAGAAACCTCCATGGGCTTGAACAAAATCTATTTCAACTTTGGGAGAATTTCTCTTGTGGACAATTAATTTGTTTCTATTAATATTCTGTTTCCTCCGTTTTCAGAGATGTGTTAATATATTTTTATATGTCTTTATATTTTACTTTCCCCATGTCAATACCATTTTGCAAACTCCCTGCTACATTGAAATTTGGTAACATGTACACCTGCATTTTCATTTTAATTTTATATAAAGTTTTATATATTTATATACAATTTTATACATTTAATTTCATTTTTTAAAATATAGTAAGTATATTCTAAAAACCATGTTTACTCTTCCAGGCAGGCGCCATCAGTGCCCAGGTAACAGAAATCAACAGGTAGCCAGAAGGATCAGGATTGTGCTGCTGAAACCAATTCTTTCCAAACTGGGATGTGTTGCTGTTTGGATCCACATGGCTCCTGGGTTTCCCTGTGCTTTTGTTCACAGGTGAAGAAAAAATTGGATCCCTCAGTGCCAATCTTGTCCCTTTTCAATCCCAGCTGAGAAGGTCCCACTGTCCAAGCTCAGGCTCTGGCACCACCTCTCCTCAGGGAAGACCTCAGAACCCTCACTTCCTTGGAATTACAGGAAATCTTTGGGGTTTATCCCCACTGTGGGGTGCACAGGGCTCCCCCATTCCCCCATGCCATACCTGCTGCTGGATCTGCCCCGCCTGCACCACGATCTGCTCCGTGGAGCTGCTGCTGTTGGCTGTGTACTGCTCCATGGTGCCTCAGGCCCTGCAAGACAGCAAAAATCAGGGGAGCTGCTGCCCCCAGGCCTGGCCATCCCCACTGTCCCCCAGCAGCTCCAAGCCAAGCCAAGCCAAGCAGGAGCTGCCCCAGGGCAGGGCTCTCCCAGAGCTGCTCCATCTCAGTGATAAACAGAGGTGGCATTTCAGGCCCATCCAAGCTGAGTGAGCAGCAAAACCAGCTCAATTCTGGCCCAATTTCGTGGACTCTACCAGCTCTGTGAGTCTGCACATCCTGGGCTGCAGCCAGGTGCCCACACAGGGGAGTGTCACTGCTGGAAAACCTCAGGAAATGCAACATTTAGGTGTGAAATTGAACTGCACTTCAAGAATTCAGCAGAGCTGTGAAGACTTCTCTCCTCATTTTTCTTCCCTCTCCTCCTACTCTCATGGAATGGTCATTAAGGATCATCCAGTGCCACCCCCAGGTTGATCTAACCTGGCCTTGGACACTTCCAGGGATCCAGGGGCAGCCACAGTTCCTAACCCAGGGCCTCCCCATCCTCACAGGGAGGAATTTCTTCTCTAAAGAAGTATTTCTATACTCAAATACAACCTTCATGTATTTTGGGAAGCACCAGCAGATTTCCCAGCACCTCCATCCTCTCACTCCTTGGCCCTTTCCCTGGACACATCAACCCCACTGTGCTGAAATAAAAACAACTTTTCCTGCCACTACTTCTCTCCTCACTGGCCCTACAACAGCAGAATTCCTGCTTTAGTGAGGTGTTTGATTTATGCCATGACTGAACAAGTTCCTGCTGCACTGCTGAAAGAAAACACAGCCTGGAACTTTAATTTTCCAAGTCTAAAGCAACAAAACCTCTGGCTGCTTCAATTTTTCAAGGAATGCTGGCAGGATTAAGTCACAGACTCTCTGTACCCGTTGCTGTGGTTACTGCTGCTGTTTGAGTTCCATCCTTTGCCCATTTCCTGAGACTTTTTCACAGCCAGAATAAAAGAAGATAAATACTCTTTCTGAAAACGCTGCTGCTAGATTCTCATTTCAATTTCACAGTGGGTACTTCATTTCTGCCTTAAATTAAAATTTTTAAGTAAAATATTTAACAACTCTGTAATCCCAACACTCTGCAGCAGCAACCTAAAGATATGGACAAGGTTCTGCCAGTGCTGGATCCTCACCATCCAAGGGATTATCTCATCCCCTTCGTTAAACACAGAGTAGCCAAATTAAATATTAAAGATCAGGGATGAATCAATGGCAGAGGATGACAGCTCTTCCCTCAGTGAGCTCATGGGCAGCTCCTCCTCACTGGGAATGCTCTGGGAATCAGGGAGTGTTCCAGTCCCAGCAGTGGATATTTATATAGACACCATATATATATATATAAATAAATAAATATATATATATTTAGGTATATATATAATATATATAGAGAGATATATAGATAGATATATAGATATATATTTGCTGAGTTGTATAAGACTTATTAGGACCATCAAACTCCTGGCCCGGCACAGGATAACTCCAAAAATACACACAAATATTTATACATATACATATATAACACACATAATTTATATTTATACAAATATAGCTGCACCAGGAACAACTTCCTCAACACCCAACCCACACCAAGACCAAACCAGTGCCGCCAACAGCCCGAGAGCTCCGCGGCATCACTCGGAGCGTGTCCAGAGCTGCGGACCGGGCAGAGCCGCACGCCCACAGCCCCGGAGCGGGATTTAACACGGGGGCGGGCTGGGCACCACACGCGGAGCTGCCGGTGGGAGCCAGCGGTGAGCCGGGGGTCATCCCGGTGTGCTCGAACCCGCGGCTCCCCCAAGGGCCGGCCCTGCCACCGGAGCACCGCGTGCCGCCACACATCTGGGACCGGACGGGGTAGCCCGGACCGGCGGGGAGGCTCCCGGGGAGGGCGGAGCCCCGCCGGGGGAACCGGCCCGGCCCCGCTGCGGCGCTCGGCCCCGCGCCCCCGCCAGCCACGGTGTTCCCGGCCCCGGTTCCCCCCTCAGCCCCCGAGCGGCCGCG